TCCCGAGAACAATGCTCTGGCATGCTTCAGGGTCTTCCAGCGATCGTTTTCCAACTAGGCACTTCCGTCAGTGGAAATGAACCGTTGTAGGGGCCTATGACGAGGGAGCTTTGGGTGGGGGATTATTCCAACATCGCTAATGACTAGTGGGTTTACACTGGTCCTCCTCCTCCTCCTCCTCCTCCTCCTCCTCCTCCTCCTCCTCCTCCTCCTCCTCCTCTTCCTCCTCCTCTTCCTCCCCCCCCCCGTCCTCCCCCACTCCCTCCCTCCTCCCTCCCTCCTCTTCCCTCTCGCCCTTGCCCCCCATCCGCGCCCCACCCCGCACCCCACCACCGCACACCTCCGGAGGGATTGCTCCTGCATCACCCCGACAGCAGCCGCGGCGCCAACGCACGCTCTGAGGGGCAACGATCGGGGGGGATGGGCATAGGAGGGGATGCATCGACCTGGAATCGGCGATACATCGTCGCTAGATCGAGCGATAGGCCTCCGATAGTGAATCCGCACCTTCCTGGGCAGGCTGGGGCTATCGGGCCCCTATCGGCGATCAATGGGCGATTGGGGTCGATGCATCCCCCCCCCTATGACTCCTCCTCCTCCTCCTCCTCCTCCTCCTCCTCCTCCTCCTCCTCCCTCCTCCTCCTCCTCCTCCTCCTCCTCCTCCTCCTCTCCTCCTCCTCCTCCTCCTCCTCCTCCTCCTCCTCCTCCTCCTCCTCCTCCTCCCTCCGCCCTCGGGGGTCGATGCATCCCCCCCTGTGCCTATCCCCCCCTATCGTTGCCCCTGACGCTCGCGCGCGCGCCTCGCGAGGCCCGCCCGCGGGCCGTGCCGGCGCGGCGCGGCGCGGCAGCGGCGGGGGCCCCCGGCGAGGAGGGCCGCCGAGGGCCTCTCGCCGGGGGGGCGCCCCCTCGGCGAGAAGCCCCCCCGCTGGCGCGGGCACCAGCGCCCTCGGGCCGGAGGAAGCGGAAGGAGGAGGCGGTGAAAGGAGGAGGAGGAGGAGGAGGAGGAGGAACGGGAGGAGGAGGAGGAGGAGGAGGAGGAGGAGGAGGAACGGGTGGAGGAGGAGGAGGAGGAGAAAGACGACGGCCACCATCAGCATCACAACGACGAGGGAAGGAAGGGTGAGGGGGCGGGGTGAACAGGAATTGGGAGGAAGGGCCGCCGACGACGACGAGGACGAGGAGGACGAGGACGACGACGACGACGACGACGACGACGACGACGACGACGACGACGAGGACGACAACGACGACGACGACGACGACGACGACGACGAGGACGACGACGACGACGACGACGACGACGAGGACGACGACGACGACGACGACGACAACGGCGGTGGCGGCGGCGGCGCTCGGCGGCAACGGCGCTCGGCGGCAACGGCGGCGGCGTGGCGCGCAGCGCCGCCGCGGCGGCGCGGTCGTCCCCGCCCCGCGGGACGGGCGGGCCGCGCCACGCCGCGCCGCGCATCAGCCGGCTCCATCCGCTTCCAGGCTCTTCTGGCGCCTGGCCGCCTGGAGGCGATGCTTGTCCAGAGATCTCTGGCGATCGAGGGTCGAGGAGCGAGGCCCACAGTCCGAGGCTCGAGGAGCGAGGCGCTCGCGCTCCTGCAGGTGTTGTTCCTGCCTCGGGGTGCCTTCCAGCAGCTGCGCCTCGCGGAGAACGCTCGGGGGTGCTCGGGTCGTCGCCAGCGGTTGCCAGAGAGAGCCGAGCCGTGGCCCAAGAACCACGGAGCGCCGCCGCGCATGGCGGGGCGTGGGGGTGCTCGGACCTCTCCGGCTCGCAATTTCTTTCCATCCGCGGCCGCTCTTCCTCGGCTTCGGCTCCCGGGGCCCGTCATCGGGCCCCGGAGCCATCAAAAATGGATCTGGGGCGAAACACCACCCCCAAAAGAAGGGGTCGAGAGCCCTGGGGGGATGTCAGGGCCTCTTGGCGGCGCACACATGTCAGCTCGGACGACACGGGGGCGTTCCTCTGAGAAGGGGGGGGGAACGCTCTTCTGACAAGGGGGACGCTCTTCTGAGAAGGCGGGGGGCTTCTCAGAAGGCAGTGCAGGGCTCGAGCTAAACCATGTTTTCCGTTTTCGTCTGGATGTCGTTGTCCTTCGTTCTGTCTTCTCTCTGCCTCTGCTGCGAACCGAAACCAACACAAAGACGGCCCACGAAATCGCCAAGACACCATCTAGCTCGAGCCCTGGAAGGCGGGGGCCTCGTGAAGGCCTGGACGCGTCTAGGAAGGCGCCTCAGAGGCGCGGAGGGCTTCCAGGCAGCTTTGGCCCCCCCCCCCGCTTTCTGCGAGGGCCCTGAAAGGCGGGGGCCTCGTGAAGGCCGGCGGGGGCCTCGTGAAGGCCTGGACGCGTCTAAGAAGGCGCCTCGGAGGCGCGGAGAGGGCATCCAGGCAGCCACCTGGCGCTCTGGACCCCCCCCCCCTTCCCCAGCTCTCCGTGCGCGCCGCCCTGGCCTCTCTGGGGCGGAGCGCCGAGGCGTCCTCCTCCTCCTCCTCCTCCTCCTCCTCCTCCTCCTCCTCCTCCTCCTCCTCCTCCTCCTCCTCCTCCTCCGCCTCCTCCTCCTCCTCCTCCTCCTCCTCCTCCTCCTCCTCCTCCTCCTCCTCCTCCTCCTCCTCCTCGCCCCGACCCTAGCGTCGTGGCAGAAATTACGGCGGGAGGATTTCAGGGCACTGTCTGGCTCTGGGGGCCCTTGCCGGGCCCCCACACCTGCAGACCACGACTCGGGACGAGAAGCTGGTCCCGGGGGGGGGGAGATCTCAGGGGAGCCACGTTGTGAACAATGTACGGGAGGGAGAGGGAAGAGGAGAACGCACGAGCAGTTCTGGGGGCCATGACTCCAGGTTCACAGCAGGAACTTGCCCTAGCACCGACGTCAGCGCCGCGAGCTTCAGACCTCCACTCCGCCAAAACTGGCTACGGAGCGTCGAATCCCAGACGATTCACTCACACAACTACAGAGAGGCGCGACGGCACGACAGCACAACGGGAACGTGGTGTCTGGCCGCCTGTTTCCCCGTGTCCCTTTCGCGACGTCGCTGTCGCCGTCGCCTCCGTCGTCGCCACCGTCGTCCGGCCACTTGCTTCGCTTCACCGACGTCGCCGCTACTGCACGCCGCCGGTGTCGTCGGCATCTGGCCGCCTGCCTCGCTTTCACCGACGCCATTGTCGCCGCCCGCAACCAGTGTCGCCGACGTCGTCTTCGCCGCCCGCCGCCACTGTCGTCAACGTCGTCAACGTCGTCAACGTCGTCAACGTCGTCGTCGTCGTCGGCGCTGTCGTCGTCGTCGGTGGCGTTGTCGTCGTCGGTGGCGTTGTCGTCGTCTGGCCGCCTGCTGATTTCTTGTTTCGCCACGTTCCCGCCCGCCGCCGTTGTCATCGCCTCTCGGCCGCCCGCGTACTTTTTCTCTCACGACGTCCGCGCCCGTCCGCCACCGTCACCGTCGTACCCGCCGTCGCCGGCGCCGCCGCCGCCGCATCCGCCGCCGCATGCGCCGCCGACGCCGCCGCCGTCGATGTCAACCGGCCGCCTGCTTGTCGCCCAACTTCGTGTCTCGGCAGTCCGCGCGCGCCCCCCGCGGGGGGGCGCGGGAGTGTGGGGGATCTCCTGACCTGGGTCAATGCAGACTCGGGTCAGTCAGGCCTTGCAAAATCCTGCAAGATCCTGCAAGAGATCCTGCACCCAAACCCGGGTTGATGCGAGGAATCCTGCAAGACCCTGCAGGACCCTGCACCCAAAGCCGGGTCCAGGCGACCCTGGCCCTGCAGGATCCTGCAAGATCGGGCGCCCTGGCTGACCCCCGTTTTCATTGACCCCCGTTTCAAGGCTCCCGAACGGGGGGGTGGGCAGGGAGCCCGGCTGGCCGCCGCGCCCCTCTCCACCACCCTGGACACGAGGAGAGGGCAGGGCGGGGAGGGGCGGCCCCTGTGCCCCGAAGGCCGCGGCCCCTGGCTCTGAGCTGTCTGGATCGCACGGCACCCTGGAGCGGCGAGGGCGGATTCGGACAGTTTTTCCACTTGTGGGGAAAGAACAAAAAACAAACAACAACAAAAAACGCCCCTACCCTGGACTATAAATGCGTGGTCTGCAAAACCTCCCGGGAGTTCCCAAAGGCCAGAAAGCCGCCAGAACGCCGCGCGACGCGCGCGGCACGCAGGGTTTCCCGTGCCAGCCCACAGGAGGTTTCAGCGCACAGCGCCTCGCAAACCAAGGCAGGGGCGTCTCCTGCGCCATTCTCCACTGGGGCAAGCAAATTTCCACGCCCCACGCCGTGGTGGGCAAGTTTTTTTGTGTCCAGCGGGCGCTGACCGAGCTGACCGGGCGCCGACGCGCCGTGCCCAGGACAGTGCCACTGACCACTCTGTACACCCTGGCGGAGCGGGTGGGCCCAGGCAGCACGGCTTGCCCACCGTGGCGGGTACTCTGAAAAGCCGTGGTGGGCAGGCACGGCACTGCACGGCGAAGCGATCCGCCCACAGCCCCCCGGCGGCGTCCGCAGCGCAGCTCGGGCCTCGGGCCTGCGGCGGCCCATTCGGGACGATCCGGGCCCCCCCCGGAGCGCTCTCGGCGAGGCGCGGCTGCCGGGGAGCATCCCGAGGCTGGGAAGTCGCCGACAGCCAACGAGCACGCCCGACAAATCGGAGCTGCGAGCTGGGGAGGGCTGGCTCTGGGCGCTGGAAGACGTGGCGGCACGCGAGCGGCGAGACCAGAGGCCCCCCAGATGGGGTCGGAGTGGATGGGGTCGGCGATTCGCGCCGCGTCGTCGGTGCATCGGCGATACAGCGGCGATACAGCGGCGACGTCTGCGATGCATCGGCGACGTCGGCGTGGAGAACATCGGGCTCCACATCGAGCCGCATGGCCGATGCATCGGCGACGTGGCGCGATCCTCCGACCCCATCTGGGAGGCCTGGAGGGGCAGAGGGGCCCTGCCCACGAGCGCACAGCGACCTCACGCGAGGGGGCCCACGACACGCCACCAGCGCGCGGCACACCATGGCGGGCGGCCTCGCGCGGGTAGTTTGCGCGCCCGCGTCCGCGCGGCCCGCCCCCGCCCGCCCCGCCAGGCCGCTCGCGCGCGCGCCTCGGCGGCGCGCGGGCGGAGAGGCCCCCCGCTGCCCCGAGAGGCCTGCCCCTGGGATCCCTCGCCCGCCTCAGGGGCGGCTGGGGCGGAGCGGCAGAGGCTGCCCGGGCGGGGTGGCACGTTGCACCGAGCGCTTCGGTGAGCTCCGAGGGGGCCAAGGGGAGCTGTCGCTGCACCGACCTTGCAGACGTGCTGCAGCGGCTGTTTGCGCGGACTCCTGTCAGTGCAAGGCCCCGAAGCGGCGAGTGAAAAACGGAGTGAATTTCGCGTGGATGCTTGTTTCGTCTTCACTCCTGGCCAAAAAAAATCCGCGCGAAAGTCGCCTCGAAATCGGGAACGAACTTCTCCAGGACACCCTGCTTTTCGCACTAGATCCGCTCTGCGATGTTGGTGCCACGAGGACCTGGGAGGGAGGCGTGCCACCCCTCCGTGCCCCTCGCGCGCCTGCTTGCGGAAGGCCCTGGCACGGGCGGAGAAGCGCCTGGGAGGAGGCCTCGCCCAGAGCGCGGGCGCCACCCACGCGCGGGGCCGCGGGCAGGCTGCGGGCTGGGCGCTGGGCACCTCGGGGACGGAGCTGGGCACCCGCGAGGCGAGGGAGAGGGGGGGGGGGGGGGCAGACACATCCGAGCGAGAGGACACGTGGCGATGCTGGCTGCTGCCGCGGGAGCCCGAGGGCCCCTCTCAAAACTCTAGCGCGGAGGCCCCTGGCGCTACACTGCACGAGCAAGGGCGGGGATCCGGCGACGGGCCAGGAGAGGAGTCCTGAGGAAAACGGGTACTGGGCCCCGGGGCTTTCTCCGGGATGGTAGGGGGCCACATGCGACCCCTACCCCTACCCCCCACGATTTCTGCGGGGGAGGGCGGGGTTCGGGTTCACTCCATTCGGGAGCTCCCCGAGCGAAGGGAACCCCACCCTCCCCCTCCGAAATCGTGGGGGGTAGGGGTAGGGTTCGCATGTGGCCCCCTAGATCGGGTTTTCCACCCGAGCCGAGGATCGACAGTCTCGGGCCAGGAGAAAGGCCCCAGGAGCCCGAGGGCGGCGAAGAGCCTCAGGGCTTTCTTGCCTCCAGAGCACCACTGGCTTCATAGGCGACCTGTGCTCTGACCGGAACCCCAGTGATGAGAGGAGCCCAGCCGTGACGACGGCAGATCTCCAGGAGGCCCAGACATGGGACAAGAGCGACTCCACAAACCGCCCGGACGAGCATGAGGATGAGGAGCAGGACGAGGGAGGAGAAGGAGGAGGAGAGGAGGAGGAGGAGGAGGAGGAGAGAAGCCCATTTGGCCTCTGGCGGGCCCGCCGATCCCGATCGATCCATCGGGGTCGGTCGCGCCAGCGCCGCCCGATCGCTCTTGCGGTGGCGGAGGCGACGATCGGCCAGCCCGCGGGGCGGGGCTGAAGCGCGCCGCGCGCCATACCGCGGCGAGGGGGCCACCGTCGCCCCCCAGTCCCCTCGCCGCGGGGAGCGGCGCCTGCGGCCGCGGCAGCGGCGGAGGCGGCAGCACGCCGCGCGGCTGGACAGCCGCACCAGAGCCCGCGTGGCATCGCCGCCAGCGGGACAGACGAGGTCAAGCACGTCTACTGCTTCGACTGGCAGCTGCAAAGGAGCTGCTCTGGGAGCACCACTCGGCGCAGCAGCACCAGCACAACCAGCAGCACAACGAGGACCAGGACACAATGCCGAAAGCGCCGTGGCAAGGCTGGAAGTGCATGAATACCAGGTGTGGATTATGGAACTCAGATACACAATGGTGGTGCAAATGCGGTCAGCCATGGAAAGGCAAAGTACGGAGCTGGAAGGAGATCGATGGAGACGCCACCAAATGGAACAAGAAGAAGAAGAACCAGGACAGGGCCATTCAGGACGTGATAAAGGCCACAGCGCCATCCACGGACCGCGAAGCAAGAAAGAGCAGAAGATATGAGGACCCTCCAACGGACCACGAAATGCTGCGAGCCTTCAAGCACAAGACGGAGAAGGAGATGAGAATATTGGCGGGCATCATAGTGGCGAAACGCCAGGACCAGCAGGACGTCATCGAGGAGACAAAAGATATGGCGGCGTTGAAGCACATGATGGTGATGACACAGCCTGCCAAAAAGAAATTGTACGAACTTCGAGCGAACAGAGACCGACTCCAAGGGAAGCTGGCGGCCATGAGGAAGCAGCATAGACAACTCGAAGACGACATGCAGAAAATAGAGAAGGAACTGAGAATGGCGGTCAAGTACCTCATGGAGCAGGAGGCCATTGCGAACGAGGACGAGTTGGAAATGGCCGACATTTCCAGCTCGGAGGACAGCTGCAACGACAGCGACGGAAAGATGGCAGAAGAACAAGAGAAGAGGAGGAAAGCGGATGAGGAAGAAAAAAGAAGAAAGAGAAGGGAAGAAGCCGAGGAGAAGGAGGCGAGAAAAAGAGAAACAAGACAAGGATAAAAAGAAGGAACGACAGAGAGAGGAAGATCGGAGGAGGATACAAGAAGAAGAAGAAAGGAGCAGAGCAAGCAAGGAGGAAATACAAAGAAGGAGAGAGGAAAAAAGAGAAGAAATAATAAGAGCCACCAAGATGGAGGAAGACAGAAGAGAAAAGGAGGAGATGCAGAGGCACATAAGAGAATTGGTCGAGATGAACAAGGAAATGGTGGAGAAAGTAGGTGAAGCGACAAAAAGGGCCATGACAGCAGAAGCAGCTGGACATGAGAAGCAACAGGAATATGTCAAAAACGTCACGGAGTTGAGGCAAATACTGGCACAACAGCAGAACGGGCAGGATGGCAAGCAGAAGCAAATGCAAGACACGACAATCCAGGCATGTGCCCAAATGAGAAAGATGCAAGAAGAAAGACGCCACGAAAGGGAGGAGATGGAGTACAGGCTCAGACAAGGAGAGGAAGCACGCAGGAGGGAAATACAAGCAATGCAGGAGCAGCACAGAAAGGAGGCCGAAGAGATGCGTGCGCAGGCGCAAAGATGGCAGCAAAATATACAAGCCGACTATGCCAGGATTGCCAACATTGCCATGGAAGAGAAGGCACAACGCGAAGCAGAGCTGACAAAGAAAGCAGAAGAAGCAGAAAGGCAATTGCAGGAAGAACGGTGGAAGCAGCAAAAATGGCAAGAGGCACAGATAGCGGCGCAGGAACAGATTATGAGAGATGCCAAAGTTCAAGAGCTCGCACAACAAGCAGAGGAGGCAAGAAAACAAGAAGAGGCGGAAAAGCAGCAACGACAGAGGAGAGAGAAGATGAGGAAGTGGGAAGAAGACAAAGAGGAGTGGAGAAGGACGAACAACTTCGGACCACTAAAACATCCAGAGACCGATCACAGGGAAGAGACGGAGAGGCAGCGAGAGCTCGAGAACGAGGAAATGATAAGACAAGCAGAAGAACGGGAGATGGCAGAAGAGCAGCAGAAAAACGAGGAAGCAGCAGAGGAATATGAAAAGCAGACAGGTGAGATGCTTAATCCTGCTATGCCAATGCACGGACCATAATCAGATGACGAAGATGCATGGTGGGACTGGGAACAGCAAAGATGGAGGCCTCAAAATGAATGGACCCAGACACAGACACAAGGATCACGAGACTGGTACCAGGAGATAGGCGAAGAAGATGACTACGAGTGGTACTGGAAACAAAGACAGGAGGAGGAGAGACGACAGCAACAAGCAAAAGAAGAGGAGCAAAGAATGGAAGAAGAGGAGGAAGAACTGAGGAGGAGAGAAGAGGAGGCAGAAAGGGAAAGCCAGGAGATGAAGCAGGCAGAACATGAATCAAGATACACGATAGGTGCCGTTCCCCTGTCTCAGATATACGCGGCAGACATGAACAAAGGGGAAGAAGAAATGGAGAAGACCAAGGAGGAGGAGGGCGGAAGTAAGGACGACGACACAACCAAGGAAGAGGAGATAAGCAAGACGGTCACGTTCAACCCACAATGCCAAGAAACAAAGGAGGAGGAAGTGGCAGAGTGCATCCAGATCCCAGAAAGCAGCGAAGCAGAGGATGACACAGAGCCAGCGGACACAGAAGCGGAGGAGAGACAGAAGGAGGAGAAGATGTCAAGGAGAAGGGCAAGGACGCAGTTCTTCGCACTCACACCGCCAAGACAGGCAGACAGCGCTGAGAGCGCGGCAAGGGGACCTGCAAGGCAGAAGACAAATGGCGACGAAGAAGGCGGCGAGGACTTGCCCAAGAGGTGGGCTTTCAGGGCCCGCCCCCGACCTCCTCAATCATGGACGGGGGGGTCGGGGGCAGCACAGACAGATGCAGGCCCCCAGTAGGGGGCAAAATGGTGAGCAAGCTCAGACTGGCACCGTGAAAGGCAGCGAACAAGAGCGGCGGTGTGCCCGAGCTCGACATCGCCAGCTACTTCGACGGCAGCGAGTTGCTCACCAAGGAGATGCAAGAATACTGGTACCGAATTCAAAGGCGGCAGGCATTTTTGACAAGAATTCATTCAAAGAGGTTGAAGGCAACGAGGCTGGGAGCCATGGGTACTGCACCAGACTCGACGACCTCCAGGTCACAACGACTCGGCCTCATGGCATGGGCAACGACGACGCGACCACGGTGGGCAACCTACACGAAGGACGCGACAGCAGACCCGACCAGACGAGGATACCGAGGCGGCCTGCAATAGTCAGGACACAGAGGCAGCTGGACCTCGACGTAGATAGATCAAGTACTAGGAAGGGGCTCGATGGCGATGGCGTGGGGGACAAGAATGGCGACAAGGAGGACACAAGCAAGCTATATTCAGGAGAAGGAAGGGACCGAGCAGGCCCACATGAAGACAGAAAAGACGAACGGGGGGAGCAGCATCTCCGAGATCATCAGCACAGAGAGCAAAAAGAAAGACCCGACCCTGCACCAGAGGTATGGATGGTACAGTGCGAGATCCAGCCAGAG